AAATTAAGTAAAGGTAAACAAAGTTCAATGGACAGATATCATGCTTGTACATGTATGTGTAGTGTGACCTAAGTGTAAGTAGAAGTAGCAAGGTGTACCAGAAATCTTCCATGTTTCATCTTTCTTTCAACACACTGGCCATATCCTACCGAAGCGGGGTGGCCCAAACGGAAAAACAAAAGTTTCTCCTTTTACATTTAGTAATATATACAGGAAAAAGGGTTACTAGCCCCTTGCTCCTGGCATTTTCGTCGCCTCTTACAACACGCATGGCTTACGGAGGAAGAATTCTGTTCCACTTCCCCATGGATGTAAGAAGAAATAAACATGAACAAGAACTAGAAAGACAATAGAAGAAAACCCAGAGAGGTGTATATATATATGCTTGTACATGTATGTGTAGTGTGACCTAAGTGTAAGTAGAAGTAGCAAGATGTACCTGAAATCTTGCATGTTTATGAGACAGAAAAAAGACACCAGCAATCCTACCATCATGTAAAATAATTACAGGCTTTCGTTTTACACTCACTTGGCAGGACGGTAGTACCTCCCTGGGCAGTTACTGTTTACCAACCTACTACCTAGGTTGGTAAACCTAGCTTGGTAGACAGCAACCACCCAGGGAGGTACTACCGTCCTGCCAAGTGAGTGTAAAACAAAATCCTGTAATTGTTTTACATGATGGTAGGATTCCTGGTGTCTTTTGTCTGTCTCATAAATATGCAAGATTAAAGGTAGGTCTTGTACTTCTACTTACACCTAGGTCACACTACACATACATGTGCATGTTTATTTATACACACTCATCTGAGTTTTCTTTGATTTTATCTTAATAGTTCTTGTTCTTATTACTTTTCCTTTTATATCCATGACAAAATGGAATAAGAATCTTTCCTCCGTAAGCCATGCGTGTTGCAAAAGTCAACTAAAATGCCGGGAACAATGAGCCAGTAACCCCTTTTTCTGTAATAACTACTAAAAAGAATAAGAAGAAAATTGTCAAAGTAGGCTGTCTGAATGTGCATGGATCTTGTGCAGATGATAAGAAAGAGATGATTGTGGATGTTATGAATGGAAAGAAGCTGGATGTCCTGGCTTTAAGTGAAACAAAGCTGAAAGGGGTGGGATAGTTTCAGTGGAGAGGAATAAATGGGATTAGGTCAGGGGTTTCAAATAGTTAGAGCTAAAGAAGGAGTAGCAATAATGTTGATGGATTAGCTATGGCAGGTAAAGAAGGACTATAAATGTATTAATTCGAGGATTATGTGGAGTAAAATAAAGGTTGGATGTTAAAAGTGGGTTATAGTAAGCGTATATGCACCTGAAGAAGAGAGAAGTGTAGAGAAGAGAAAGAGATTTTGGGCAATGTTGAGTGAATGCTTGGGGAGTTTTGAACCAAGTGTGAGAGTACTTGTGGTTGGGGATTTCTATGCTAAAGTGGGTAAAAATGTTGTGGAGAGAGTAGTAGGTAAATTTGAGGTGCCAGGGCAAATGAAAATGGGGAGGCTTTAATTGAGCTATGTGTAGAAAGAGATTTGGTAATAAGTAATACATATTTTATGGAAAAGAGGATAAATAAATATACAAGGTATGATATAACACGTAATGAAAGTAGTTTATTAGATTATGTACTGGTGGATAAAAGGTTGATGGGTAGGCTCCAGGATGTACATGTTCATAGAGGAGCAACTGATATATCGGATCATTATTTAGTTGTATCTACAGTTAGAGTAAGAGGTAGATGGGACAAGAGGAAAATGACAACAACAAGTAAGAGGGAGGTGAAAGTGTATGAACTAAGGGAGGAGGAAATTCGAGTGAGATATAAGCAACTATTGGCAGAAAGGTGGGATAGTGCAAGTATGAGTAGTGGAGGGGGGGGGTGAAGAGGGTTGAAATAGTTTTAAAAATGCAGTATTAGAATGTGGGGCAGAAGTTTGTGGCAAAGTGTTATACGAAGAGTAGAGTATATGGAGAATAAAAGAAATGTGAAGAGTCGGTGAGAGGGTGCAAAAGGAGAGCAGATGATAGAGTGGGAGAGGCACTGTCAAGAAATTTTAATGAAAATAAGAAAAATTTTTGAAGCAAGTTAAACAAGAAAGCATAGGGAACGAATGGATATGTCAGTTAAAAACAGAGTAGGGGAATTAGTAGATGGGGAAAGGGAAGTATTAGGTAGATGGCGAGAATATTTTGAGGAACTTTTAAATGTTGAGGAAGGGAGGCGGTAATTTCATGCACTGGCCAGGGAGGTATACCATCTTTTAGGAGTGAAGAAGAGCAGAAAGTAAGTGTGGTGGAGGTACGCGAGGCATTACGTAGAATGAAAGGGGGTAAAGCAGCTGGAACTGATGGGATCATGACAGAAATGTTAAAAGCAGGGGGGGGATATAGTGTTGGAGTGGTTGGTACTTTTGTTTAATAAATGTATGAAAGAGGGGAAGGTACCTAGGGATTGGCAGAGAGCATGATAGTCCCTTTATATAAAGGAAGGGGGGAAACAAAAGAGATTGTAAAAATTATGGAGGAATAAGTTTACAGATATACCAGGAAAAGTGTACTGTAGGGTTATTATTGAAAGAATTAGAGGTAAGACAGAATGTAGGATTGCAGATGAGCAAGGGGGTTTTAGAGTGGGTAGGGGATGTGTAGATCAATTGTTTACTTTGAAGCATGTATGTGAACGGTATTTAGATAAAGGTACGGAATTTTTTATTGTATTTTATGGATTTAAAAAAGCATATGATAAGTGGATGGGGGAGCAATTTTGGGCAGATGTTACAAGTTATAGAAAGGTGGTAGTTACTAAATGCTGTAAAGAGTTTTCAGAGATAGTGAGGCTCAGGTTAGGGTGTGTAGAAGAGAGGAAAATACTTCCCGGTAAAAGTAGGTCTTAGACAGGGATGTGTAATGTCACCATGGTTGTTTAATATTTTATTGATGGGGTTTTTAAAAAAGTAAATGCTAGGGTGTTCGGGAGAGGGGTGGGGTTAAATTATGGGAATCAAATTCAAAAGGGAATTGACACAGTTACTTTTTGCTGATGATACTGTGCTTATGGGAGATTCTAAAGAAAAATTGCAAAGGTTAGTGGATGAGTTTGAGAATGTGTGTAAAGGTAGAAAGTTGAAAGTGAACATAGAAAAGAGTAAGGTGATGAGGGTATCAAATGATTTAGATAAAGAAAAATTGGATATCAAATTGGGGAGGAGGAGTATGGAAGAAGTGAATGTTTTCAGATACTTGGGAGTTGACGTGTCGGCGGATGGATTTATGAAGGATGAGGTTAATCATAGAATTGATGAGGGAAAAATATATAGCCGTCCTGCTCCACCTCTGGTTAGTGTGACTTTGTCAATGGTCCAAGTCGGACTGAAACGTCGTCGTAAGCTTCTCTCTTTTATGTGCGGGTTATTTGTGTACAAAGAAAATAGAAGAAAACCCAGAGGGGTATGTATATATATGCTTGTACTTGTATGTGTAGTGTGGCCTAAGTGTAAGTAGAAGTAGGAAGACATACCTGAAATCTTGCATGTGTATGAGAGAATAAAAAGACACCCGCAATCCTACCATTGTGTAAAACAATTACAGGCTTCCGTTTTACACTCACTTGGTAGGATGTTAGTACCTCCCTGGGTGGTTGCTGTCTACCAACCTACTACCTATAGTTCCACTGTATATACACATATATTTTGTTTTTTTAACAAGTCGGCCATCTCCCACCGAGGCAGGGTGGCCCAAAAAGAAAGAAAATCCCCAAAAATAAAAGACTTTCATCATCATTCAACACTTACGCCTCACTCACACATAATCAGTGTTTTTGCAGAGATGCTCAGAATACAACAGTTTAGAAGCATATACGTATAAAGACACACAACATATCCCTCCAAACTGCCAATATCCCGAACCCCTCCTTTAAAGTGCAGGCACTGTACCTCCCATTTCCAGGACTCAAGTTCGGCTATATAAAAATAACCAGTTTCCCTGAATCCCTTCACTAAATATTACCCTGTTCACACTCCAACAGCTCGTCAGGTCCCAAATACCATTCATCTCCATTCACTCCTAACACGCTCACGCACGCTTGCTGGAAGTCCAAGCCAATTGCCCACAAAACCTCCTTTACCCCCTCCCTCCAACCTTTTTGAGGACGGCCCCTACCCCGCCTACAGATTTATATGCTCTCCATGTCATTCTACTTTGATCCATTCTCTCTAAATGACCAAACCACCTCAACAACTCCTCTTCTCCTAATTTTCACACTCCAAATTTTCTGCATAATATTTACACCACACATTGATTGCCCTTAGACAGGATATCTCCACTGCCTCCAACCATCTCCTCGCTGCAACATTTACAACCCAAGCTTCACACCCATATAAGAGTACCACTATACTTTCATACATTCCCTTCTTTGCCTCCATAGATAATGTTTTTTGTCTCTACATATACCTCAACGCACCACTCACCTTCTTTCCTTCATCAATTCTATGATTAACCTCATCCTTCATAAATCCATCTGCTGACACGTCAACTCCCAAATATCTGAAAACATTCACTTCTTCCATACTCCTCCTCCTCAATTTGATATCTAATTTTTCTTTATCTAAATCATTTGATACCCTCATCACCTTACTCTTTTCTATGTTCACTTTCAACTTTCGACCTTTACACACTCTCCCAAACTCATCCACTAACGTTTGCAATTTTTCTTTAGAATCTCCCATAAGCACAGTCATCAGCAAAAAGTAACTGTGTCAATTCCCATTTTGTATATGATTCCCCATAATTTAACCCCACCCCCTCTCCTGAACACTCTAGCATTTACTTCTTTTACAACCCCATCTATAAATATATTAAACAACCATGGGGTCACCTCACCTCAGTGGGATATGTCCAGTGTGTTAAACAAAATTTTAAAATGTATTACATTATTTACATAATTCTGAAGAGAATTACTCTGAGGAAATAATATAAATTGAGAATCCCTTTGCACTTACCACATTTCCATCTTCCCATGTAATAAATGTAACATGATAGGAGGAGGCAGGAGATAACATGTATCATGCCAAATATGATCAAAAATGCAAGACTTCCTGATAAGACACCAATCACACCAAGAAGAACTGCCACTGCCAAGGCAGCAAAGGTTGCACTAGCACTTGCATTAATGTCCGGGTGACGCGTTTGGTATATCTTCAGCATGGAGAGCACCGAAATGACATACATGAATGATGTATCTGTCAGGAACAGAATAAAAATTAAACGTGTTTAACTCTGGCGAGGTATTCATGGATGAGTCATAAAACAAAATTGTGACAAACCTCACATTCACTTCAATAATTGTTACTTTGTATGTTCAATACCAACAATCAATTCTGAATAGTCCTAACTGGGTACAATGTACCTGGCTATAATGAAAACTATTTCTATAAATATACCTCTCTAGGGTTAATCAATTAACAGACAATTTCATACTGGACATATCTGTGCATACTTTATGTATATTACAGTTTAGAATCTCTGCAATGTGAAATATTATCATTTGTATTTATGTTAAGAAAAATACAATATAGTAAAAATTAAATTAAAATTCAAAACATTTAATTCAAAAACTATATAAAATAATTTTCCAGGCAGTCAAAACAAACTTATGCCTAAATTTATAACTTGATCTGGAATACATGACAGTATGTTATCTAAGGCTAGTGATTCAGTCTTAAGTACAGATATAACAGGGCAAGAATGAAAGAAATTATAATAATGATACTCTGCTATGGGGCATATTGTGAAATGCATATTTCTCTCTTCATATCTGTGTAGTGTAGTGGTGCACCAAAGATTTGGGTCTGCTTTTTTGGAAGAGGAAGAGGTACCCCTTTATAAAACCTCTTAGTCCTCCCTTATAATACACTGTTAATATCTAGCATGTTTAGCAGTACAGCATAAAGTAATTTATAAAGTGTAGTTTGTACATGTCAATCACAGTGGAACCTCGAATGCTGAATTTAATTCGTTCCAGATGTCAATTCAACAACCAAAATGAATGACAACCAAAGCAATTTCTCCCACAAAGAATAATGTAAACGGAATTAATCCATTTCAGACCCCAAATGACAATATATTTAACTGAAATACTGTACAGTAAATGAAAATTTAACCCCCTCTTACCTGTCCGAGGAGAGCTAATGGTATACTGGAAGCAGGGGGTGGAGGAGAGGAGGGATTATGTTACTGCTTGGAAGAAGTCACCTTCTATTAATATGTCAGGCAACTGTCCTTCTGGTGTCATTTCTCTTCTTTGTCTCTATTCACCACTAACACTTTGTTCTGGCTCACTGGTACTTTGTCTCACTAAAAACCTGTCCAGTGAGGTTCATTTCAGGCTCCATTTTAACACTTGTCTAAATTGAGACCTTACACTGTCAATGTACATATTAGAGAGATGGATGGCCAATGCTTTGTTGAAAAAGATCGAAAAGAAGGTAGAAAAGTGTGAAAAGAGGTTGGGAAGGGTAGAAATACATACTGTATGCTACTGTATGCTGTTGCCATCACAAACACTCCACTGTAAACAAACTACCTATGATGTAACTAAGAGTTATTACACTTTTTGTATTGTGTTTCTATGTTTTTTGTAATGTTATTTTGGCTATTTTGGAATACTATTTACTATAAAACTGTCTGATTCAGGGCGAAATGACACAAAGCTGAGGTAGTTTTTGACGTAAAACATTCATTAAAATTTTAGCATGGAAAGTAATGTTAATATGTTTCCATGATAAAAGGTTTCACTTTGAGAGCCATCTTGTAGGAGGACACATTAATCACGTATCATGACACTACTGACTTACCCAATTTACTCACCTTTAATACAGAGAATTTCTATTTATAAATGAATGTACAGTGGACCCTCAGTTATCAGTCGTAATCCATTCCAGAAGGTCGGCCTAAAACCGAAATGGCCGAAAACCTTAATAATATTTCCCATAAGAATTAATGTAAATACAATTAATCTGTTCCAGACACCCAAAAATATTAACAAAAAACAATTTTAGTAAAGATTAATTATATTTTTACATACACAAAACAATGAGAACTAAATAAAACAAATACATGAACAATTAAATCATTATTACATACCTTTATTGAAGACTCTTGTTGGCTTATGGAAGATAGGGAGGAGGAGAGAGGGAGTTGGGGTTATTGTTTGGAAAGGGAATCCCTTCCATAATGACTTCAGGTAAAAAGTACCTCTCTGGGGTTACTTCCCTTCTTTGTCTTTTAATGCCACTAGGACCAGCTTGAGAGTCACTGCACACCTGTCACACAAAAAATCTGTCCAGAGAGATCTGTTTCTGGTGTCTCTAAGATTTCCCTGAAGTGTGACAAGGTTTTGTCACTGAACATGTTGCAGATATGGCTTGTTTCAGCTTGGTCAGGGCAATATTTCTCCACAAAAGCTTGCACCCTACTCCACATTAAATAAATCTTCTTAATCTCTGAAGAAGGCACCTCCTTCCCTCCCTCTTCCTCCTCCTCTGAAGCAAGTTTCTCAGCTGTGGTCTGTTGCTGTTCCAGATGAAGCTCTTGCAGCTTTTCAGTGGTTAGCTCTTCACTGTGGTCCTCCACCAACTTTTACACATCCTCGCCACTAACCTCCAATCCAAAGACAATAGATTCCACAACAGGTGTAGGGTCCTCAGGATCATCCCCAAACCCTTCAAATCCCTCTCTTGGACACAATCTGGCCACAATTTTCTCCAAGCAGAGTTCTAAGTCCTGGAAGTCACTCCCTGCCAAGCTTTACCTATAAGGCTTATGCAATGGAGGATATTGAAGTGATTCCTGCAGAACTCTCTTAGGGTCAAGTCAGTATCTGAGGTCACTTCAAAGCACCTTTTGAAACACTGTTTTGGTGTAGAATTTTTTGAAGTTAGAAATGACCTGCTGGTCCATGGGCTGGATGAGAGGAGAGGTGTTAGGAGGCAAGAACTTCACTGTTACAAAGAGGCCTGAGCTTGCTATCACCTGCAGCTCATAAGACTGCCATCCCCACGAGCCCCTTTGAGGCGGGGTAGATGGCAGACCAGAGGCCTAGCTTCTCCCTACGAGCCCCGTGAGGGCGGGGGATGTGGCTAGGCCTGGGGACAGTTGGTCCCAAAGATGAGGGGGTAGCTGTACCTCCTCCCATGGAAGACTTAGGTCTCGGGATACTCCCCAGATAGGGAGCCAAGGCCGGGTCACCACTACTTGGAAAAGACCCGGGCCGGGAGAATACCGGCGAATAAGAAAAAAAAAAAAACTGTTACAAAACGGAAGCCCCTAAACAATTGGTCTTCCAAGTCTGGAGGATGAGCAGGAGCATTGTTCAGTACCAGGAGGCACTTGAGTGGCAATTTACGTTCCAGGAGGTATTTTTTTCACACTGGAGCCAAACACATCATTGACCCACTCTTTGAAAATGTGCCTTGTGACCCATGCCTTATTATTAGCTTTCCACATCACACACAATCTATTCTTGACAACATTGTTTTTCTTGAACACTCTGGGATTTTCAGAGTGATAGACCAGCAAAGGTTTCACTTTGAAATCCCCACTAGCATTAGCACAGAACAAAAGAGTAAGCCTGTCTTTCATAGGCTTGTGTCCCGGCAGTGCTTTTTCCTCCTGCATAATGTAGGTCCTCTTTGGTATTTTCTTCCAAAAGAGGCCTGTTTTGTCACAACTGAACACTTGTTGGGGGAGGAATCCTTCAGCCTCTACATAACCCTTGAATTCCTGCACAAATTTTTCAGCAGCACATTTGTCAGAACTTGCAGCCTCCCCATGCCTTACCACATATTGTATGCCACTATGGTTCTTAAATCTCTCAAACCAGCCTTTGCTGGCCCTAAATTCACTAACAGCAGCACTTGTTCCAGGCATTTTCTTTACAAGATCCGCATGCAACTGCCTTGCCTTCTAACAAATAATCGACTCCATAACACTATCTCCCGCTAATTGTTTTTCAGTGATCCACAACAACAGTAACCTCTCCATATCTTCCATTATCGGTGACCTTTGTTTCATTAGCACATTTACTCCTTTTGCAACATTAGCTTCCTTGATTTCTACTTTCTTTGCCAGGATAGAAGTGATTGTTGATTTATTTTTCCGATATATCCTGGCAAGTTCTAGCACTCGAACACCACTCTCGTACTTTTCAACAACTTCCTTCTTAATTCCATCATGTTTCTCACTTTCTTTACCAAAGGAACTTTACTAGGAACTTTTATTGGGGCCATGGTTACTTATTTCACAGTTGCACTTAATCAATAACCATGATAAACAATGAATTATAGAGAAATGTTTGAATGAATGAGCAGAAGCTTCCTCACTCGACCACAGACAAAGCCAGACTGACGCGCCAGCGACGGGTTGACGTGTCCCATACGGCTGATAAGCGAAATAACAGCCGATAACCGGAAGCCAAAAAAACGGCCAATAACTAAGTTGGCTGATAAGCGGAATGGCCGATAACCAAGGGTCCACTGTATCTGTTAAAGAAAATGCAATTATTAATTCATACACTTTCTGTCATCAAAATCAATATTTGTAGCATGTAAAACGTGCAGCTGTTACTAGGTACATGTATAATGACTTCTACTTGAAGGGAGGGTATTATAATTTCCACTTGTCACTTTTTTCTTACAAATCTTTTAACACTAATACAAAATCTCTGAACATTTGTTAATGATTTATCAGTCAAGACACCTTCAGAAACCTACTGAAACTCTACCGCAGAACTGCAGGAAAGCAACAACTCACCAAACTGGTAGTTTGAGTTATTGGGACAAACATGGTAGCAGGCACTGAGTAGACCTTCCATGATGAGAGAGCCACCCATGGCATAAAATATGCCAAAGTGCTGGGGAATGCCATAATACTGGAAATACAAAAGATATGAATTAACGTAATTCACCTAGTGTCTGAACCTCATTTCCAAAAGGAAATAGTTTTTCAAAAAAAATAGAGCCCAATTCATTTTTTAATATAAACTTATTGTCTTGAAGCATGATATGCATTTAATCTACTTTATATATATTTGTGCATGTGCATGTACTCACCTATTTGTGGTTGCAGGGGTCGAGTCACAGCTCCTGGCCCCGCCTCTTCGCTGATTGCTACTAGGTCCTCTCTCTCCCTGCCCCATGAGCTCTATCATACCTCGCCTTAAAACTATGTATGGTTCCCGCCTCCACTACGTCACTTTCTAGGCTATTCCACGGCCTGACTACTCTATGACTGAAGAAATACTTCCTAACATCCCTTTGATTCATCTGAGTCTTCAACTTCCAATTGTGACCTCTTGTGTCTGTGTCCCTTCTCTGGAACATCCCGTCTTTGTCCACCTTGTCTATTCAGCGCAGTATTTTATATGTCATTATCATGTCTCCCCTGACCCTCCTGCCCTCCAGTGTCGTCAGGCCGATTTCCCTAAACCTTTCTTCGTAGGACAATCCCATAGCTCTAGGACTAGTCTTGTTGAAAAACCTTTGCACTTTCTCTATTTTCTTGACGTGCTTGACTAGGTGTGGGTTCCAAACTGGTGCTGCATACTCCAGTATGGGCCTAAACGTAAATGGTATACAGAGTCTTAAAACGAATCCTTACTGAGGTATCGGAACGCTATCCGTAGGTTTGCCAGGCCCGTTATGCTGCAGCAGTTATCTGATTGATGTGCCCCTCAGGAGATATGCTCGGTGTTATACTCACCCCCAGATTTTTTTCCTTGAGTGAGGTTTGCAGTCTTTGGCCACCCTAAACTATACTGTGTCTGCTGTCTTCTTTGCCCTTCCCCAAATCTTCATGACTTTGCATTTGGCAGGGTTAAATTCAAGGAGCCAGTTGCTGGACCAGGCTTGTAGCCTGTCCAGTCTCTTTGTAGTCCTGCCTGACCCTCATCTGATTTGATTCTTCTCATTAACTTCGCATCATCTGCAAACAAGGACATTTCTGAGTCTACCCCTTCCTTATGTCGTTCACATTTTACCAAGAACAGCACAGTCCTAGGATGACCCCTGTGGAACCCGCTTGTCACAGGCGCCCACTCTGACACCTCGTCACGTACCATGAAATCGTTTTTTGCCTCCTGTCAGGTATTCTCTGATCCATTGCAGTGCCTTTCCTGTTATGTGTGCCTGATCCTCTAGCTTTTGCAGTAACCTCTTGTGAGGAACTGTGTCCAAAAGGGCCCTTTTTGCAGTCCAAAAAAATATGCAGTCGATCCACCCCTCTCTCTCTTGTCTTACTTCTGTCACCTTGTCATAAAACTCTAGTAGGTTTTGTGACACAGGGTTTTTCCTTCCCTGAAACCGTGCTGGTTGTCAATTTTACACTTGTTTCTTTCCAGGTGCTTTCCCCCACTCTCCTCCTGATGATTTCTCCATGACCTTACATACTATACACGTTAGTGATACAGGTCTGTAGTTTAGTGCCTCATGTCTGTCTCCCTTTTTAAAAATTAGGACTACATTTGCCATTTTCCCTACCTCAGGGAGTTGCCCAGTTTCAAATGATGTGTTGAAGATCTTTGTTAAATGGGTCACACAATATCTCTGCTCCCTCTTTAAGGACCCATGGAGAGATGTTGTCTGGTCCCCCCGCCTTTGAGGGGTCAAGTTCGCATAGCAGCTTCTTTACCTCCTCCTTGTTATATGTACCTCATCCACCTTGCTGGTGTGCCCCCTGTTCTGATTTCCTGGAGTCCTACTGGTTTCCACTGTAAATACCTCTTTAAAATCTTGTGTTGAGCTCCCGACATACCTCCGGTCGTTTCTTGTGAAATTTCCCCATCACCCTTCCTCAGTCTAATTACCTGGTCCTTGACTGTTGTTTTCCTCCTGATGTGGCTGTACAACAGCTTCGGGTCAGTCTTTACTTTTGATGCTATGTCATTTTCATATTGTCTCTGAGCCTCCTTCTTATCTGTGCATATTCGTTTTGGCTCTTCGGCTAATCTCTTTATTTTCCTGAGTTCTCTGTCTTCTGTACCTTTTCCATTCTCTAGTACACCTAGTTTTTGCCTCCCTACACCTTTGGGTGAACCAAGGACTCGTTCTGTTCTTCCCATTATTTCTGTTTCCCTTGGGAACAAACCTCTCCTCTGCCTCCTTGCATTTTGTTGCCACATAGTCCATCATTTCTTGTACTGGTTTTCCTGTCAGTTCCCTCTCCCACTGAATGTCTTGAAGGAAGTTCCTCATGCCTGAGTAGTTCCCCCTTTTATAGTTTGGTTTTCCCACCCTATTCCTGCTACTCTCTCCACTTGGAGCTCAACTATGTAGTCGAAGCACAGAACCACATGATCACTAGCTCCCAGGGGCCTTTCATACAAGATATCCTCAATGTCTGAACTACTCAAGGTGAATACAAAGTCCAGTCTTGCTGGTTCATCCTCTCCTCTCTCTCTGGTAGTGTCTCTAACATGTTGATGCATGAGGTTTTCCAGTACCACATCCATCATCTTGGCTCTCCATGTTTCGGGACCCCCATGGGGCTCCAGGTTTTCCCAGTCAATCTCCTTGTGATTGAAATCACCGATAACTAGTAACTTTGCTCCCCCCATGTGTGCTCTCCTGGCCACCTCGGCTAGTGTGTCGATCATTGCTCTGTTGCTCTCATCATATTCTTCTCTTGGCCTCCTGCAGTTCTGTGGTGGTTGTACATTACTGCAATTATCACCTTATGTCCCTCAGACTGGATTGTTCCTACTAAGTAGTCCCTTTCGCCCGTGCCATCCATTCCTTCCATTTTCTCAAAACCCCACTGGTTTTTAATGAGCAGTGCAACTCCTCCTCCCCCTCTCCTCCCTCTGCCTTTCCCGAGGATTTGATATCCGGATGGAAAGATTGAATCTGTTATTATTCTGTGAGTTTTGTTCTGTGAGTGCTATTATGTCTGGGGATGTCTCCTTGATTCTTTCGTGCCACTCCTCATACTTGTTTGTTATTCCATCTGCATTTGTATACCACACCTTCAACTTCTTTTCTAAGACTGTGGTCTGGGAGATGTATTGGGGTTGGGGAAGTGGGAGACCTGGTAAGGAACTATGGGTTGTTGCTGTGGGGGTGGAGTTTGTAATGTAGTGGGTGGGGGCATTGGATGTGGCATGGGTGTTTTGATTTAGAGTGTTTGGTTGCACTGGGGTTGACCTGGCTGGGAGGCTTCTATAGGAAGTTGTGAGGGAGGCTGTATTTGATCTTCTTCCTGGGTCTGGGATCTCCCGTCTGTCTCTCCATCCCCTCTCTTCCTCCTTTTGCCTTTGTATCATCTCTCTCAGTTTCTGCCTTTCTTCTTGTGTTCTGTCGCGGTTGAGATACACCTTCCTGTATGCCGGCATGTCCCTTAATCGTGCTTTCTCCTGCAGGATCCTGTTCCGAGTCCTTTTGCCTTGAAGGTCACTTTCACTGGCCGGTTCTTTTTTACAAACCCCCCTATTCTCCAAAAATTTTCCAGCTGGGTCATGTCGTCTTCTCCTATTGCTTTCATGATGCTTTCAATTGCTTTTTTTCCCCTTGTTTTCTTGCTTCGTATGTTTCCCCTTCAACTTCCTGGAGCCCATACACAAAGACTGACCTCACCCTTTCATTCTCCCACGCATATCCCTGTGTATCCCCTCATTTAATTGGTTTCCTCCACTGCAGCTTTCCTTTCTTCAGTTTCACTGGCCAATGTACTTGGGCTCAGGCCTGTCATTTTCCCTTCTCGTTTTTTCCTTGGGCTCTGTTGTTGTCTGTTAGGGCCTCCACATAAAGCTTAGCTCTTTCATTTACTACAGTCTCCTCTGATAGAGCCTCTCCATGCAGTTGTGCTCCTTCTTTCCCTACTGCCCCCTTATTTGTGGCTGAGGTAGCAGTCTCTGTTGTCAATCCCAAAATGTTCTTTAGTTCTTTAGGCTGTTTCAGATTTTTCAGTTCCTCTTCTAAACTCTGTATCCTAGCCTCTGCTGCTTTGACATGCACCTCCCACTTCCTGCTTTCCATATCTATCCTCTCTTCCATTCTCATGCTAAGTTCTTCTAGTTTCTTTTCCCATTCATGATCCCTTTTTATGAGCTCTGCTGCCCAATCTTCCTTTGCAGCTTCCTCCTCCTGTCCCTTGGTTTTTCTTGTTCAAATTCAAATTCAAATTCAAAAATTTATTCTCTATAAGGATTACAATGCTGAGTTTACAGAATTTGGTTATTGTGTGGTTTACATGTAGTAAAATAATAATTACAGAGTGTACCACTAGAACACCTAGCATGGCTAGGCATTTCGGGCAGACTTAAATTAAATCTTAAGTTTAAAATATTACAAAATTATGAGGTAAGTTGGTATTATGGCTAAGTGACTAAATACTAGGTTGTGAGTTTAGCAATGTGAATGCTTTTGTTTTGGCACTATACATAGTTTCAGTATTGGAGTATCACAGGCCAACTTATGACTAGTTAAGATTCATTATTTTGAGATTGAGATTGATATTTCTGATTATGGTCAAATGGGTGAGTGAGTGTAAGTATTAACCACCAGGTGGTATTCGTGTAATTAGTTGACAGGGTGTATCAGGGAGATAAGATGTTTTCTGATGGTAGTTTTGAAGGTGATGAATGTGTCTGCAGTTTTAGAATTTTCAGGCAGGGTGTTCCAGATTTTAGGGCCTTTGACATACATTGAATTTTTGTAAAGGTTTAGTCTGACACGGGGAATGTCATAGAGATGTTTGTGTCTGGTGTTGTGCCTGTGGGTTCTGTCGCAACTATCAAGAAAGTGTTTTAGGTCAAGGTTAACCCTTTCAGGGTCCAAGGCCCAAATCTGGAGTCACGCACCAGTGTCCAAGAATTTAAAAAAAAAAATTTTTTATTTTTTCTTATGAAATCGTAGAGAATCTTTTTGTGAAGGTAAT